TATATACAGTAAAACCTGTGAAAGCTGGAACCTTTGTAAGGCAGAAACCTGTCAGAGAAGGAAAACTCAAATGCTTTCCACCAAAATGAGTGATAGAAAAGTGGTAAGACAGAATCCTGTGAAGAAAACATGTGAGATCAGGAAAAATAAGGTAGTTTCAGGCTTCCTGTATTATCTTGTTGTTGTTGTTGTTGTTATGTGTCCTCGAGTCAGACCTGACTCATAGCAACCCCTCCTTGAGTTTCCCAGGTTGTATCACCATGGAAGTAGATTGCCCAAATTCCTTCTGAGGAGTGACTGGTGGGTTTGAACTTTCAGTCTTCTGCTGTGTAGTCAAGTGCCTTAGGCACTGTGCTACCAGCGCTGAAGAAATTTAAGTAGTACAGTCTAGGACGTTGATTATGGTAGAAACCCTCTTTCTGTTTACTCATGAATGCTTTAACTTTTTTTTCCCTGAATCTCAGTTGCCTTAGCCCTTCAGCAAACAGTGAGGAGAGGGCAGAAACCATGTCATCCCAATTGTTAGTAAATGTTGCATTACCATAAAAATACATAAATCATCAATGCAGCCCTAGAAAAGCCACCCTCCCACTTGCCTTGTTCTGGAGGATTTCTGCTATGTGAACATTAATGAAAGCTGAGTTAATTTATGATATAACTTAGTACACCACCCTGGGACAAGGAAGACCAAGTTAACTACAAAAGGATGTGTGGGAGTATATCCTGCAAGTCTGCATAAAAGTAACCCTGATAAGAAAGGAGTGAATTAACTGTGTTTTGTAATATCATATTCTTGATTTTCATGTTGATTCCCCCCACTCCTCTTGGTGTTAGTTTTCTCCTCTGATAGTATGAAGTAACCAGGTACATGGGTGGTGTAACCAAAGGGTTGTTGGTTTACATCCACCCAGAGACACTTTGGAAGAAAGGCCTGGTGGTCTTTTTTTTTTTTTAACCAGCCATTGAAAAACCTGTGGAGCGCAGTTCTTTGATATACATGGGGTCACCAGGCGTTAGAATCAACTTTGAAGGCATCTGGTTTTACTGGAGCCGGGCTAAGGTTCTGCAGCATTTCTTTCTTTCTTTGTAAGTTTTTGAGAGATTTTTTTGGTGCATATCTATTATACTTAGATCTGAGATCCTTTAGCTATTGTCTATGGCCACCTAGTTAAGAAATTTATGATGTCAGTATGTAGAAACATGGGTGAGACAATAACTGACTAACCCAAATTTCAAGTATTAAAAAACCAAAACTAAATCAAACTCACTGCCCTCAAGTCAAATCCAACTCATAGCAACTCCTCCTTGGGTTTCCAAGGTGGTATGGAAGTAGATTGCCCCATCATCCTTCTGAGGAGTGGCTGGTGGGTTTGAACTACCAGCCTTCTGGTTAGCAGTCAAATGTCTTGAGAAACATGATTAGCAAATTACCAAAGTGGGGGTTCTTGAACCAAAAGAAATTCTCCTCTATAGAGTTGCCCTAGTTTAGGGTTGAACTTTGGGTACAAAGGTATTAATGATATGTCTCACCTTTTTTGTTTTATGCCTTTTCTCCACTCCACCTCTCTTCTTTGTGCCTTGACCCTGTCATCATCTGACACATATCTGTGAATGTTTTCAAGTATAATAATGGTTGAAATAATAGTAATAGCAGTAGGCAGTGAAGGAGCTCTGGTGGCATAGTAGTTAAAGCATTTGGCTGCTAACTGAAAGGTTGGTGGTTTGAACCTACCAGCTGCTCCACAGGGGAAAGATGTGGCAGTCTGCTTCCATGGAGATTGATAGCCTTGGAAACTATGGAGTATTTCTACTCTTTCCTTAAAAGAAAAAAAGCGACCAAACTTACTTCCATTGAGTCAGGTCCAACTCATAGCAACATCTCCTTGGGTTTCCAAGGTGGTATCACTATGGAAGTAGATCACCCAGTCTTCCTTCTGAGGAGTGGCTGGTGCCTTTGAACCATCAGCCTTCTGTTTAGCAGTCAGATGCCTTAGGCACTATGCTACCAGAGCTCCTTCTGTCCTAAAAGGTTACTATGAATTGGAATTGACTTGATGGCAATGGGTTTGGGTCTTTTTAAGTGTTTATGTATTGCTTATCTGTCAGACATTATGCTAAGTGTACCCAGCTGTATTATCTTACTTAATCTTATCAGTAACCCTGTGAGATATATATTGTTATAATCCCCAGTTTACAGAGAAGATAAGTAACTTCAAGGATACATGGCTAGTACTTGGTGGGGCTGACATCCAAACCTAGAGTATGACTTACAGTAGAACTCTAGAGTTTGTAACTCTGGATAGTACCACAAGCCCAATCCTGACACTCCTCCTGTCACCCTCAAACCTCCTTACTCAAGGGCTACTCACTAAGCCCCACCTGTCTCCCTTTAGCCAGCTTTGTGAGTGGTCACTCCACTGAGCCAAACTCCAGACCTTCCATCAACATGAGCCACCTTGATCATCTTGTAATTCTTGGCCATTCCTTGCCCTGCCTCTCTACCCTGTTAGGCCTTTCAGGTGTAAGACAGCCCGGAGTTTATAGCAAGTAGTGCCTATGAGTGGTCATGTCCCTGGGCACCATCTACTCCCTTCATACCTAAGCAGAAAGGGTTTATTGGAGCAGGATACACTTCTTAGTTGTTTTTAGTTCTAGAATTGAAGTTCTTTTTTTCTACTGTCATCTCTTTTTTGGACTATTACACAGACCTCTTTGCATGCTCAGTTTCTAGTCTTACCTCTCCCCAATCCATTCTTCACCCAGAATCAGATGTTTCTATAACATAAATTTTACTTTCATTTTCTTTCTTTAAAACCTTTCTTCCATTGTCCTTAAAATAGAAAATAAACTTTTTAGGTTGCTTATAAGGCCTTAAGGGATTGGCCCTACCTGCCCCTCTTGCCTTGTCTTTCACTGGGCCTCATAGCCATCCCACTCTACATCCATGTCTACAAATCCATTTCAGTTTTGAGCATGGCTTTTTCTTGCCTTTAGGTCTTTGCACAAGCTATTCCATAACTACCTTTTTTTTTTTTTTTTTTGTGACTGCACCAAACTTCCCATATAAAACCCACTGCCATTGAATTGATTCTTGTTCGTAGTGACCCTTTAGGACAGAGTAGAACTGCCCCATAGATTTTCCAAGGCTGCACATATGAAGTACACTACCTCATCTTTCTCCTGTAGAGCAGCTAATGGGTTCAAACTGCCAACCTTGTGTTTGGCAGCTGAATTCTTTAACCTCTACACCACCAGAGGTCCTTCCCATAGGCATAGTGTTTACTCACTTGTCTTCTTCACTGTAGTTGTGCACCAAACCAAAAAACCAAACTCACTGCCATTGAGTCATTTCCAACTCATAGTGACCCCTATTGGATTTATGATGCAGTAAATCTTTATGGAAGTAAATTGCCCTGTCTTCCTTCCACGGAACTGCTGGTAGGTTTGAACTGCCAACCTCCTGGTTAGCAGTCACATGCCTTAGGCACTGCACCCCTAGAGCTCCTTGTAGTTGTTCACAATTCTAGGCATAGAGTAAGGGCTCAATAAATGTCTATTGCATGAATAAATAAAAATCATGCATTCTATTTTAATTTTTCAACATGGATTGGGACCTGTCCATTTATCAAATTCATTACCTGTTTTTGCCATTGTTACTAAGTTGACTTCATCTATATTTTCAAGCTTATTCTTTTTTTTCTTTTTCTAATCTTCTCTTTTCTACTCTTTGGATCCTCCCATATACAGATTTTTTCTTTTCTTAATTACTATTTTTCAGTCTAGTCTTCATGATTACCAGCACAAAACGTCTACGTTGCTCTGCTCCTATTGACCAGGACTGTGGAAGGATATAGCTGCTAGTCTTACAGCTTGCAATGTCCCTTCTATAGCAGCCTGTTTAATGGTTAAACATTTGGCTGTGTTTGCTGGCAACATTGGGAAGAATAAAAGAGTATTGTGTTTGGTGCACATTGTCTTAAAGGGACAGACTTGTTCTTTCTGTTACTTGCTGGTGTGAGCAGGGAAGAATGAAGAAGAATAGTCGTTTGTGATAGACGATGTTTTTAAAAAAAAACATGAAATCATGTCAAGTAAAAAGGGGTCTCTAAGGAGAAATTTATTTTTCTAGTTGAAATGATTCATGTTAGATATAGATCTGAATTTTCTTAGTAGATCCGATTTTTTACCTACTATCACAATAATGTGGCACAGTACGTAAGGCATTTCACTGCTATCCAGAAGGCTGGCAGTTCAAGCCCACCAACCAGTCCTCGGAAGGAAAGTTGGGAAATCTACTTCCATAGAGAAACTGCCTCAGAAACCCAAGGGGGGGGGGTCACTATAAGTCGAATCGACTCGATGGCAGTGAGTTTGGTTTGGTTTTGATCACAATAATCCATGAGGTTCACTAGTACAATTCTCATCTTCCGTGAAAGAGGCTTGGGTTTGATTCCTAGCCAGTATACTTCATGTGCAGCCAACACCCATCTGTCATTGAAGGCTTTTGTGTTGATGTGATACTGAACAGGGGAGCTCTGGTAGCATAGTGCCTAAGGCAGTTGACTGCTAACCAGAAGGCTGGCGGTTCAAACCCACCAGCCACTACTCAGAAGGAAGGTTGGACAAACTACTTCAGTAGTGATACTCCCTCGGAAACCCAAGGAGGGGTCTCTAGGGTCAGGTCCGACTCAACAGTACATAACAACAACAACAACAGGTTTCAGCAGAGCATTCAGACTAAGATGGGCTAGGAAGAAAATCCTGGTGATCTACTTCCAAAAATCAGCCATTGAAAACCCACTGGATCACAATAGTTCAATTGCAGCCAAACTTGGGATTGGTGCAGGACTGGACAGCAATTCATTCTGTTGGGCATGAAGTTGCCATGAGTTGAGGGCAATTCAATGGCAGCTAATAGCATCACAATTATAACAGAATCACTGTTAAGATTTCCCAATTAATAGCAGTTTTGTTGTTGCTATTCTTTTTCCTTATCCCAGAAGTTACACTGAAGGTCCACATCAGTGATGCCAGCACCCATCAGCCGATTACAGATGCGCTCATTGAGGTTTTCACCAACCAGGTCTCCATCGCCTCTGGCACCTCAGGGACAGACGGCGTTGCCTTCATCAAATTCCAGTACAAACTGGGCAGTCAGCTGATCGTCACCGCCACGAAGCATGCCTACGTGCCAAACTCTGCCCCATGGAAGCCAATCCGATTACCTGGTAAGCAATTCTTAATTTTCCTCTAAATTAGAACTTACAGTATAGGCTACTGATAAGTCAGACACAGAAACCATTTGAAAGTGAAAGTCAGACAATCAGTAAGATATTTCTGTTGATTATCTGCTCTACCATTTGGGGTTCCTTATGTGAAGGAAGGGAGCTCTGGTGGCGTAGAGCCTAAGGCACTTGACTGCTAACCAGAAGGCTGGCGGTTCAAACCCACCAGCCACTCCTCGGAAGGAAGATTGGGCAATCTACTTCCATAGTGATAATGCCTTGGAAACCCAAGGAGGGGTCGCTGTGAGTTAGATCTAACTTGAGGGCAGTGAGTTTGGTTTTTTTTTGTTTTGGTATGTGAAGGAAAGGTGAGATCAAAATATGAACCGTACTTGAGGCTCTACCTTAGCACATGCACACAGCAGAATTAACAGCTTTAGAATTTCTGCTCATTTCCCCAACTTTCTGTCTTCTACTTACTGACCATTACCAGGAGGGGGGATTTGGACAGTGTCTTCATTCTCCTCATGTGCTCTCTTCCTTGCTGTCACATCCCATCCATCCATCATGTAGCCTGAGAGCAGGAATACCTGAAAAGGTGGGAATTGATTGCAAGATTGTTTTTTCCTCTTTTCCCTGTTTTTATGTTTCACCATTTCAAAGCATCTTGTCTATACAAGGTACAAGGATGGTACCTGACACAGATTCAGCTTGAGATGGGGTAGATGGGGAGCAGCAGACAGTCCCCCTTCTTTCCCCTCATCTTAGGCTCTACCTGATGACCGAACCTCATTATATTTCAGCACTGGCACTAGGTGAGTGATGAGGCTGGGGCAGAGAGTTGGAGGGAGTTGCCACTGGGGAACTGGAGAAAGTATGGGCTTTAGAACCTGGCTGACCTGGGTGTTAGTTGGCCCCCAGTCTATGATGGAACCCCTCTAGCTGCCATGCTAGTCTCTGCAAAATGAAACTGATGCTACCTCAGAGTAGTTCTGATTACAAATTACCTATCATATGAAAACTACCTTACAGTGCCTGGAACACAGTAGGTATTCAATAAAAACAAACAGAAAGTTGTTGTTGACTTATGGTGATCCCATGTGTGTCAGAGTAGAACTGTGCTCCCACAGGATTTTCAGTGACTGATTTTTCAGCAATAGAATGTCAAGCCTTTCTTCTGAGGTGCCTCTGGACAGATCCAAACTGCCAAATTTTTGGTTAGTAGTTGAACATTTAATCATTTGCTCTACCTAGGGCCTTGTACCTAGCACAGTGACTACAGAATAGCAATGTCAGTGTTGCTTTCTGACCCACAGCACAGCCAGACACACTCCTCAAGGTATTTGCTGCTTCTAGGACATGTGGGAGCTAAGCGTGGCTGTACCTGAAACGTGTTTTCTCTCTCTTACAAGCCCTCAGCATTCACCTTAATTCACAAAATCATCTTTAGCTCTGTGTACATTTATTAAATACCTACTGCATACCAGGTGCTGACTTGAGCACTAAGAATACAGATCTAAAGACACAGAATTTTCCAGGGAGTTTATAGGTCAGTGATGAAGTCACGTACAGAAGTAAGCTCAGTCTAATGGGATAAGTGCTCTGATAGACTTATGGATAAATGGATGAATGGATGGATGGATGGATGGGACACTAGGGGAAGAAAGTTTAACTCGCCTAGGTGAGTGAATGAAAGCTTCCTGGAGGAGACTAAGTGGGAACTGAGTCTTGAGGATGAACAGATATTAGCATCAGAAGATACTTGAAAAACTACACAGATTCTAGGATTTTACCTTTCAATCTGGGGAAGTTGTCTGAAGAATCTGTATTTTAACAATTAGCCTCTCCATCCCCCCCACAGGTATTTATGAGTAAAAGTGTTCATTAAAGTTTGAGACCACTGCTTTGTGAGCATATGGAAAGGGGAATTGATACAGACACAACTGAGGAGATCATTTAGGAAAATAATAGAGAAAAGAGAACATACTTCAAAAATACTTAGCAGGCAAAATCAGAAAGCATTGGGCGAATGTGTGGGGAAAAGGTAAGGGAGAAGAAGAAATATCAGTTGCATCAGAGTGTTCTGGCTGGCGATAGAGTGGATAGTACTTCCAGGGTCAGTGATGGGGCTAGATGACCTGCCATACCACCATTCTCTAACGTTGATGCAAGTAACACAGTAGGTTAAAGGAGCAGATCACCAGGTCTTTCTTTTATAGAGCCACTGGTGGGTTCAAACTGCCCACCTTTCAGTTATCAGCCAAGTGTTTAACCATTGTGCAACCAGGGCTCCTTCTCCATAGTATTGAAAACCAAACCAAAAATCAAACCCACTGCCATTGAGTCAATTTCTGACTCATAGCAGCCCCCACTAGGTTTGAAAGGCTGGAAATTTTTACAGAAGTAGAGTGCCTCATCTTCCTCCCACAGAGCAGATGGTGGGTTTAAACCACCGGCCTTCTGGTTAGCAGCCACAGTCTTACCCACTACACCACCAGAGTTCCTTACAATAGGGGACTGTGTGCCCTCCCGTTCCTAAGTTTTAGGCTTAGGCAAAGATGGATAAAAGTGGTTAATGGAGGTAGGGAAATGGGAGGAAAGGATTAGGTGTTGAGGTTATAGATGATGTTGAACTTAGTTTAGTGTCTATTGGGTTTGAGTTATCTCTGGGCCATTATGTAAGAATATTTAGCTTGTAGTTTGGAGCACATACGGAGCCCAAGAGAGAGGTCTAGGCAAGAGGTTTAATTTTGGAATCATCAACAGTGTTGAAGTAAGAATCAAAACCATGAGCTCACTCAGAGAGCAGAGAATAGTAGGCCTGGAAGAGAGCCCTAGAAAGGCCAACAGAATAGGAAAAACAAAACCAAACCTGTTGCCATCAAGTCAATTTCTACTCATAGTGATCCTATGGGACTGCCCCATCTCTTCAAGGCTATAATCTTTATGGAAACAGACTGCCACATCTTTCTCCCAAAGAATAGCTGGTGAGTGTTTGAACTGCTAACCTTTCATTTAGCAACTAACCATGCCACCTGGACTCTACAAAATAGGGAAGATAATCTTTATTAGACTACATGCAGAGAAAATGTTTGACTTCGTTCTTTTCCTCACTGGAAACAACCTAAGGGAGGGTTAGACAGTATTCGGACACCACAATTGCACATGTCCTAGAAGAACAGCAGCACAAAGTACTTTAATTTTATTCTTTGTGACTCTGAACATCATCACTTGAGTAAAAGCAACCATTTCCATGATACCTGTTTTCTTAGATGAGTGCAATAATGGGAACAACATAGTTTAACAACATAGTTTTTAAAGAGTTTGTGACTCAGAGTAAAGACACCTAGGCATCAGGCCTGCTTGTCACCATCTGCCCTGCATGTGGGGACCCATCACAGCTTTCTGAGCCTGAGATTCTTGTTTCTAAATTAAAAGAATTAGCCTAAATAATTTTCATGGACCCTCCTCTTGATTACTTGACTCTATTTGCCTTGTCAATATAATAAAGATATTCTTAACTAGAATCTAACAAACTGGTACCAAATATTGGATTGGTCTGTTGTGAAAAGTGCAAAGTAAACTATTGTTTTCTTTTTTAAGCAGGTAGTTACAATCTTTTATTTAGTAAAAGACTGTGCCAGTCCGCTATTTCATTAAAAAGTGATTTCATGGAATAGGTTTGGTTCTAGGTTTAAAGAATAGGAATCTCAAGGGGACTTCTCTCCTAATCCAGTTTGTCTGGCTTTTTTTTTTTTTTTTTT